GCTAGCTCGGTGCGCCCTTCTCCTTGGCGGGAGGCTCCGTGCCACGTGTACGGAATCTCTCTAGAACAAATGCGGCGATGGGCTTGCAGATGGGATGCAGAGCACAAACCGAAACGCCGCCCGCTCCAGGGCCTCCGGGGGCTGGCCGATCCAAAGGAGTGGAAGCAGCGCTGGCCAGGTCTGGAGGCATTCCCCGACAGTTAATTTTTACTCTCCATATGCCAACGCTTTCTTTTCACACCCTGTGGCTCATTCAATTAACAACCCCACAGCTTTCCAGATTTGCTGTGGATGAGGCCGGGGGGCGGGCAGGAGGAAATGCTGTCTAAGCACCATGATCTGAACCAAGCTGAACTATGCAGCTGAGTGCCTTGTTTTAATTGCTTTTTGGGGGGTGGAGGCCATTTGCTAAGATCTGTCTTGTTCTGTCTCCTGAGGGCAGGAATTGCATGTCTCAGCTTATCCATCGCTTCCCTCTCCAGCTCCCTCCCCTCTGTTTGGTCTTAATCAGTGCCACAGCTTGGGGTGGGTGGAGGGTAGTGGATGGAGGGAAGAGCTGTGGTGAAAACCTGGAACTGGATATTTGGGAAACGTTCCTCTTGGCTGCTGGAAAATGCTACAAAGCTCCAAGGAAAGGGCAGATCTCATGGATCACAAACGCCTTCGCTATTCGGTATCTCGCTTCCCTCCTGCCCCTCCAACGGTGTCTATGGGAGCGGGCCGTTTTAAGCCTCTTGAAGAGGGGATTGCAAGCTGCCACTATTTGGCAGAGTAAAGATGGGCAGAGCAGGCTCTGATGACTTAATGCCAAGCAGGGTGGCAGCATGGTTGTCTGTCTGGTTAGAGCACAAGACTCGAGTTGGGCAACTGCCTGTTCTAATCCTGGCCCCATCACTGCTTTACTGTGATCTTGGGCAAGTCTCTTAACCCGTCTGTGCCTCGTAGATTTCTGTGCGAAATGGGGATCGTGCTTAAACCTGGTGGTGGTGACTAATCTGTTAGTTTGAAGTGCTTAAGATCCTTGGGTGGAAGGTGCTAGGGACGGGCCTGCGTTACTTGTTAGTACAGGTCTGTGGCATGTTACGCTGGGGTTATGTTCCGCAGTCAGCGCGTAAAGCGAAAATCGCATATAGTCAAGATTACATTGAGGGTAATGGCAGGCGAAATTGCCCGCACTACAGGTACAGTATTTATTAAAATGTCTGTCGCATCTTATGCGCATTTAACATGCGCGATTTCAGCTTTACGCGGTCGGCAAAAACAAAACCAAAAAAAAAAAGAGAAAAATAACAATTTTAATACTGTACCTGTAGTGCGGGCGATTTTGCCCACCGTTACCCTCAATGTAATTTTGACTATACGCGATTTTCGCTTTACGCGCTGACTGCAGAACATAACCCCAGTGTAAGATGAGACAGACCTGTACTGCTCTGCTTATCAACCATCCCTAATTAGAATGGAGGTCTTTCAAGTTCAGCATAGACCAACTTGCATCTGTGGCATGGTCTGGTAGAGAGGTGCTGGGCTGGAATTCAAAGTCCTTGAGTGCGTATCTGAACCCAACTCTGCCACTGATGTAGTGTGTGACCTTGGGCAAGTCATTTCACTGCCTCTGTGTCCCCTTCTGGGTTTTTTTGTTGTTGTTGTTGTTTTTGTTTTTTTAAAGCGGGGGGATGGGGGAGACTTTCCAGTGCTTTGAGATCTTGAGATGGGCTTTTGTCACTTGGCACCAGAGATGCAGGCAGCAATATTCTGCACACTGGCTTCTGCTGAGCTTAAAGAAGAGTCCAGAATTTCTCGAAATCCCCAGACAGGATGGTGCAAAAATTGTTTCTACACCTCCAACCTGACCTGCAAAGAGTGGACAGTACAATGTTAGCAAGAGGGAAATTCTGAAAAGGTGTTACCATCTGCCCTGGGATGAGCCCACCTAACCCAGGAGTTAGAGCCCTAAGGGTGTCCGCTTCCAGAACATGATTAGCCTGGTCTATGCCAGACAAACTTCCCAAACACTTCCCACTGTGGCTGATGCCAAACAGAGAGAGACCCCGGAAAGCTAGGGTAGGCAATGCTTACGTGCTCATATAGAGGCTTCAGCAGTGCTGGGGGCAGGAGGTGTTGTACAGCTTGTCTAGGGTTTTCAATATTTCCTCCTGTAACTTCTTCCCTTCCTTTGCCATCCTCCCACCCTTAGTAATATTGTGTACCACAGGAGTACCTAGAGGCACTGTATGGACTTGGTGAGGGGCAGCCCCTGCCCCAAAGAGCTAACCATCCAGCCAAGAGACATAGGGTAGGGGGGTATGACACTGAGGGGAAGTAACTTGCCAGAGGTCACACAGCAGGTCAGTGGCAGAGATGGGAATAGAACCCAGGATGACGTCTTGGCCCAACTGACTTCACTCCAAATCTTTACAGTCCTAGTCCAGTGCCTGAATTGTTACTACCTTGTCTATCTTCCCGACCAGACCTGTAATCCATCTCTTTTCCCATGGATGCTTTTCTTCTGTGTCTTGGTGGAATTTTTTTAATATCCCCTCATTCACTGGTAGCATCTCATCTGATCAGACATGCTGAGCAGCTCAAGCCATGAGGGTTTTTTTTTTTTAATGTGATTCAGACTAGTCACCCATCTTGCTAAATACAGTGAAATTCAAATACTGAGCATCAGCCAAAAAAAATGCAACTAGGAAGATTCCCTTTCCAGAACTTCACTGCGGCTCTAACAGAATCAGACAGAGCCAAGGGATGCAGCCTCCGTAGACCTGTCAAATGCAGTGGAGTATGGGTGTGGGAAGGGAATCTTATTTGTATGTACTGCAATCCTGAGTTGAGACTGTAACTTGAAATCCAAGCATCCTGCTGTGCAATTACATCGAGCAAATATTAGTCAAGTACGAATTACAAACTGTTCTGTCTTAGAGAGCTGTCAGTCAAATGCTGCTTGTTCTTCTAATCAACCTCACTAAAAATAGTGGCAAAACTTATTAGCAGGGAGAAGGGAGGGATATCAAACTGCACTGTAGCGCATCTGCTGCATGTTAAGCAATGTACTCAGAAACTGCCAGCCAAAATACCCCCGTGGGACTGAGAGGAGATGTTTGGTTGGCCGGGTCTGCTTAGATCCTGGCAATAAAATCCATTGTTCATATCCACCCCAGTGCAACAGAATATTAAAAAAACAAAAACACCCTCCCCTCCCCTCCCCCCACAACTTTAGCCTTTGCCATACCCCCTTGTCTTGGGATCCTGTTAATTCTCAAGCTAAGCAGGGGCTGGGTCAGGTTTTTGATGGAAGATTTCAAAGGCAATCTTAGATGCTCAGAAGCAGTGTGTGCTCTCATTTGGTCCCTGTCTACACCGATTCTTTCTAAAACCTTTGACCTGTGCAGCTCTGCTGGTGGGAGTTCTCAGGTAAAAGGTACAGGCAGCCACTGGTATTGAGCCCAGCTCTGAGCCAAGTTAGATGATACTGTGGTAAATACACCAGTGACTGATCTATTCTAGTTCACCGACCATTGCTAACATCAATGGCACTTTGTGGCTTTGTCTACACTAGATTTTTTTGATACAGGTTTTGTCATTTGGATGAAATGTGAAATCATGGGCCTGGCCATTTCTCGTGCTCAATGATCCCACAGCACTTTAAGAGTAAGGATGTTGCTCGAGATGCCCTAGTTAAACCCCAAATTCAGTAATTATAGTCTGAGTTTCCCATGAATTTTCAAATAGGTAGTGGTGTTGTACCTCCACTAAGCCTTAAATTGTTTATAGCTGCGGCGTTCATCCCAGAAGTGGCTGCATTTCAGGGTAGCATATATGTTCTTGGTATACTTTCCCCCCCCCCCCCGCCCATGGATTGAAGGTGTGTGTGTTGCTTTGGGAGCCTCTGAAAGCTGCTATAGAAGTACAAAATGAGTGACTTAGTGGATTTTTTTTTTTAAACTCCTTGTGCCCCTGTTGGGGGTGAGGGTTAGAGGAATAACTCTCTGAAGGTGGAACTCCAACTAATAACTACTCCAAGGAGTGACCTGTGTGGCAATGATGTGATTGGACCCACATCATGTCAGTGAGAGCACTGGTGACGCTTCTGAAAGGATTTGCTTTCAGACTAGAAGAAATTCAGCTGAAAGGGGTCCAAGAGCCTGAGCATGCTCAAGAAATGGAACCTAGGTGGTAGAAACCAGTTAAAACCTGAGCCTCCAGTTCACCCGGGGATTTTGGGATGTTTTGGATGGCATATTGGGCCTATCTGCTCTGCCGCTACCTGTGCTGTCCCTGTGCTCTCTCTGGGGGCAGGACTTGCGGCATCTCTCACAAGCACTATGATGTCCTCCCCCAGCCAGCCCAGTAGGAAACCTACATCCGTGCACAGGGCTGCTCAGGCTGATCTGTGCAGGCTAGTTGGGGGGTGGGGTCGGATCTGTGTCTAAACCCTCTGAGATGAAACCCACAATTCCTCGGAAGAGACACAGCAGCGCTGGGTACTGCGCTGGCCCACCTAGCTCACGCCGGGAGCAGTTTCTCACACTGGTGACGACTCAGATACCCATTCAGGCGCAAGCTCGGTTGGATAGCCCTGGGCTGCCCACTGACAACCTCCCCTTCCTTACCCTGTTGATTTGATTAAGTGGAGCAGAGAATTGTCCCCTCTTTACACGTGACCAATCAGAGAAGCAGATGTTGGCTGGCTGTTGTGGACTTCAGAGATCCACCAAGCTAGAAAGTTCTTGGGGAAGGTGAGGAGGGTGGAGATCACAGCCTCACTGGGTTTAATTAGCCCTTCCCATGAGCTCTTCTTGCCCCGATGAGGAGGCTGATGGGAAGCCCCCCTTCCTGGGAGGACTGGAGTAGAGGGAGGAGGTGTGAAACGGATTTCAAGCTGGAGTACTGAAAGCTGCAAGCATGGGGCTATCTGTGCTGGGAAGGTGCCCAGGCAGCATGCAGTGAGCAGCATGTTGAGAACTCTGTAGTAACCTTTCACTTCATTTGTGTCTCAGATTCCTGAAGAGCTGAGGTGACTTCACACACGGCCACACTGCCCCTGTAGAAAGGCTGTAGCTGGACACATCGAGGTAAGACCTTTTCCTTTTTGGGCAGAGGGGAGAAGAGGGTCTGAGAGTTCTGCCAGTGACTATTCAACAGGTCACAAAGTGAAACCGAAATCTTCTGCTTTGAGGCACTTAGATCCCTAAGCAATAGGCACCTTTAGCTGGGTGGACTTCGTCCCAGTGCATGGGAATGATGCACATTACCTGGTCCTGCCCGGCGTGGAAGCTTTGTGGAGAAAAGTACATCTATTGGTTTGGTTTGTCTCCATATCAGCTGGTGCTTCCAGAGCAGACCCCACTGGCTGTGCTAAACTGGGCATGATGCTTTTAGTTCTAACTGGCCTGTTGGACACATAGCTGAAGCCTTAAACTCATCCCACCAATGGCCTCAAACTCATCCATTGTGATTTCTTCCCTTGAGCTGAAACCATCAGAGAGCTCCTGTGTGCCTGAACTTGCCTTCTCTGCTAATCCAGTCGCGGAAAAGCCTGCTGCCTTATACCAGGTCTAATCAGCCAGGAGCAAGCGTTTGGGAATGCTGGCCGCTTTTGCACTCGGTGTGGAGAGGGGACGGGAGCTTTCAAATTAAAGATTCTGTGAGATCCTAATCGCTGACAAACCAGATGTGAACTGGAACCACAAATATGTTTTTCCCCGTGACAATCTAGTGCTGCCGTTGTTTGTTTGTTTTTATTTTTAAACTGGGGGAAATGATGTGAAAAACAATAGGGTTTTTGTTTGGGGGGAGGATGGGTGTGGGAGGCAGGAAATGTACAAGTCAACAGATTCTGGTCCCTCTCCCGAAAAGTGACAGCACTTTGTTCCCTCTCCCACCCCACAATATGCTTTTCTGTTTCCTTATTGTATGGCTCTGCACGTGGTTTGGAACCCGGATGACTCAGGCTGTAAAGTCTCTGGGGCAGGGACCATCTTTTTGTTCTGTGTGTGGTACGGTGCCGAGTGCAATGGGCTGCTGCTCCAGGATTGGGGATCCCAGGTGCTACCGCAATAAAGGCAGGATGTAGGAACGGCTTTGGGGATGATGATGATTTAGGCAGCTTCCTTCTTGCACCTGAAGCTTGGACCCATTTTTGCAGCTTCCAGTTATCCAAGCAGGTCTCCTTGGTAGTGTAGTGGGAGCCTGGAAAACTGTACTAGAAACCAGTGCAGAGAGCGTGGTGCTGTGCAGACGTTTGTCTCCCAAGTTCTGCCTGTAAAGTGCCGTGCTCACAAGGCAAAAGGCCTCTCTCATGAGGTGAAAGCAGCCACGTTCAGCTGCAACCACACTGAAGTTGGCACAGTTCTGATCTTGTTGTGGCTAGGACTAAAGGCTCCCCAGGGAAGCGTCCAATATCTGTTTCCTGCTGGGGCTGATACTACAAGCTTAGCTTGGTAGCTTCCTTTAAGCCCAGTAACTCATTTAACAAGGCTAGAAGAGATGGAACTAGCTGTGGGAGGGAGCGGAGGAGCCAGCCTCCTGGAGGCTCTAGGCTAACTGGGCAGTAGATTCAACTAGCTGTATTCTCTCCTTCCTCCCCGCAGCCTGTCTTTCCTCCCTTTTCTTTCGTGGTTCATTCTTTCTCTCCCCCTCCTGGCAGTGTGTGTCTGATCTCTCACAGTCACCCCCGAGACCTTTGTACACAGCACACTCCCGGACAGGTCATTAATAACTCCTTTCCCCCAGGCCTCCCCTGTGCCACTCTTTAGCAATACAAATTCCTTTGCTAGACTAGTGAATAGGCATTGACCCTCCTGGTTTTATCAGGAGGGGGTGGCTGGAGATCTCCTTGTACTGCTGCTGAATCCTCCTGGATTGCAGGCAGAGGTTGGAATTTTAACCCTGTCCTTGCCTGAGAGTGGAAGCGTGGCTGCCGCCAGCTGTTGGCAGTCAGGTTTCTGCCAATGTGGCAACTTATTGCCCACTGCCAGTTCTTGATGGGCCACTGTTAGCTGGAGGGTTGGCATTGCCTCTCGCTCTTTCAGAGGCACAGCTCTTTCCCCGGAGGTTGATTGGATGACTCAACATGGGGGGGATAGCTCAGTGGTTTGAGCATTGGCCTGCTAAACCCATAGTTGTGAGTTCAATCCTTGAGGGGTCCATTTAGGGATATGGGGCAAAAATCTGTTGGCTGATTTGATTGGCGATTGGCCCTGCTTTATGCCGGGGGTTGGACTGGATGATCTCCTGAGGTCCCTTCCAACCCTGATATTCTATGACTTCTCTTTTGTACAGGGAGGGGAGGAAGATAAATGGTTTTGGCGGCATCTCCAGGGGGGAAGAGTGATGTTGGGGTACTACCTTGGGGTGGACATTGGGCCTGCTAAGAAGCCAGTGGGTATATGAGCAATGTTGAGGCTCTTCCCTATCTATGCCGATGGCCCTTCCCTATCTATGCTGTGATCCTCCAGCGTGTAAGAGGCGGAGGTTTCCTGGGAGGAGGGGAGTGGGGGATGGGAGGGTGGGCTAGCTGCCTGCACCTCATATAGGACTTACAAATCAGGCATTATAAAAAGCACACCTGACCTGAGTGAACTTGCCATTCAATCCTCCTCTCTGTCGCCCCTCCTTCTAGTTTGGGTTGCCAGTGAAGGCTGGGCTCCAAGAGAGGACCTGCTGTTGGATTAGTTGGGGTAGCCAATGTAAGCGGGGCTGAGCTGGTGATAGGTGAGTAGGGGGGATAGGATTGAACACAGGGCAGAGGAGAGCTTGGGAAGTATGTAGCATAAGTAAAGGAAGGATGGCCCCAGGATAGGTCTGAGCTGCTCACCTCTCTGCCTCCACACCCCTGAATTCTGTCCCACTCTGAGCCTGGTGTCTGACTTACCTTTCTTCTGTGTCTCCTGGCCAGTGGCCCTGTATGTGACGTTGTTTCCCTCTCTCCAGTGGAGCAGTATAACGAAGGGCAGTGCCCTACAGCACTTCCTTTTTGGTCTGTGTGTTCTAGCTCTGCAGCCAAAGCCCTAGAAGCTTGTGTGAGCGAGAGGCCAAATTAGGCCTCATCAAAGCAGTGCACGCTGTGATTCAGGAGGAGTCTGAAGGATCCCTTTTTCAAAAGGGTAAACCCGTGGAGGGGTGGGGGTTTCCAGCACTCGGGATTCTAAGCCAACGCACAAACCGTGTACTGGGGGTGGAGCCCTCCCTCTAGTCTAGAGGCTACTTGGATAGTCCCTGACTTGGAGACGCCTGATACACTTCCACAGTGGGTAGTGTGCTGCCACTAGCTTCTTGCTCTCATAGGCGACTCCCCGACGGATGCTGCCAGGTATGCCAGCCTGGCATGGCAGCGCTCTCAGCTGGAGCCTACCAGCAGGACTCATGACATGGGGCAGTGGTTCGAAGCGGGTGGGGGAAGGGAAAGTTCAGGACTCCTCTCTCCCAAAGAAGTCCCTGCAGATGGACAAGGACTCTCTTGAGAGTAGGGTTGCCGTAGCGTGCCCCACTTGTGAATGGACGCGGGGCGGGGGAAAGAAACATCCCCAGGAGTCTGAAACAAGGGCATCAAAACTTGTGCTGCCTGTGGGGGCCTAAGCAGATCAGAAAGTATCTCCAGAGGTGACAAGTAACCATGGGTCTAGTCATGAGTGGCCATTTCTGGGTGCTTTAGATGAAGGCCTCCATCCCCCCCCCCCCAATACACCAGTTCTCTGATACAAGGTGGGGGGTTGGCTCCTGAAGCAAGAGGATGATTGGTCCTGTTCAATTGTATTCTAGCTAGTGCAACTGCAGGGGCCGGTCTTACTCATGTAAAAGGCCTGGTCCTTTTCTGAAGCCTATTTCAATGAGTTGTGGTGGAGATGTACACACGAGCTCCTGTGGGACCCAATTGCTGTCCCTTTGCCCATTGTCTTCCCCAGGAGTCATCTGGCTGGGCCAAGTTCACTGCTAGTGTAAGTGATTTCAGCCGAGGAAGAATTTGGCCCATTGTCTTTCTATCTTCTCCTACCACTACACACTGATCTGGGCAAGTCCCAGTGAATACTCTGACACTAGGCTCTTGCGGGACTCTGAAAAGGGACACTGCAATGCATTATAGCGCGGTTAAGTTAGGCCCATTATGTCTGTCTTTCAGAGACTCGCTCACCAGGCTAAAAGAAAGTGACTCAGAATGATTAGGAAAAATCCCTACGCTTACACACAGACCATATTATGAGACTTAGTCTTTTTCCGTTTGGGGAAGTGTTGTTTCCAGGGGAAATTCTGAGCCGACTTGGGTACTTGTGACTGCCTATGTAATGGTGGAAAACAAGCAGTGCGGTTAGGCCCTGCCCTGCATTGTGCGTGTCTCCTCCTCCCTTCACCCATAGATGGAATTTAGCAGGGCAGAATCCAGTAATGGGAACAAATGGCGGGAGACCTGAATCACCTGAGACAGAGGTAGGAAAAAACAAAAGGCTGAACTGGGGGCAAGAGGAGGGAATGTTTCTGTCTTTCCCTGTCTGATCACTGATCTAGGAGACTGCCGTTCCTCATGCCAAGTATTCCAGAGCATGAGGAACAGCAGTCTCCTAGATCGGTGATTCTCAAAGCCAGTCCGCTGCTTGTTCAGGGAAAGTCCCTGGCGGGCCGGGCCGGTTTGTTTACCTGCTGCATCCACAGGTTCAGACGATCGTGGCTCCCACTGGCCGCCCTTCCCGCAGCCCCCATTGGCCTGGAGCGGCGAACCGCGGCCAGTGGGAGCCGCGATTGGCCGAACCTGTGGACACGGCAGGTAAACAAACTGGCCCGGCCAGCCAGGGGCTTTCCCTGAACAAGCGACGGACCAGCTTTGAGAACCACTGTCCTAGATCATATTTTCTGTATCGCTCTTCTGCATGATTTATTTATTTTTAAAAGACCCTTATTCCCTTGGTCTGTCTCCTGTTTTCCCTCCACGCACAGGGCAAGCTGTGACCTTGCCATGACCATGCCTCCCTTGTGAGATGCCATTGCCACAGAAATCTCTTGGCCTGCCCAAGGACTCTGTTTTGTGTTCCTGTTGTGCCTTCAGCCTGAGGGTCTCCAAGCACTTTGCGCAGCTTAATGTTTGAAGTAAAGAAATACTATCATCACTTCCCAGATGGGGAGGAAAAACTGAGGGGAAGTGACTTTGCCCACGGTCTCCCAGTGTCTGAGTCAGAAAGAAAACTCTCATCTCCTGACACCTAGTTCCTTAGCTATTGATGAGGGTCCCGATCCTGCAAATGTTTACATGTATGCTCCACTTTACTACCATCAGTAGCTCCATTGAAATCAGTGGAGTTATTCATGATAGTAAAGGTTAATAATGTGTAAGTGTGTGTGTGTCTGTTTGTTTGTTTGTTTTTGTTTTTTGTTTTGTTTTTTTGTAGAAAAACAAAAATGCTCCCTCGATCTAGAGGTTGGAAGTGAGCAGACAACCTCGGCTTTTTCAGAAACAAAGGAGTTTATTTTGAAGACAGGATCTAATAATAAAGACCAGAAGCAGAACTCATTTCATTAGAAGGAAGGATTTTCCATTTAAGGTGCAGGTAGCTCCCTAAAGCAAAGACCCATACACCCACGCCTATCTAATCCCACTTCGCAGAAATCATAAGTGGAGATGAGGTTCCTCAACTGGAACACTGGCTCAGAACCTCCTTGGCTCTGTATAGGTGTCTTGTGTATTGAAGACAGTGCTGGAATTGCAAGCTGTCACTTTAAGAGAAGGGAGATGGACAGGGTTCCTGATCCTGCTTGCAGGCTAGGGAGCTCTGTAGCAAAGCATGTGACTGCAAAGGTGCAGTTGTTTGGTGTCAGTCTGTTTTAAAGTAAAGGGCACTGAGTTGTGCATCGCTACCTTGAGGGAGCAGCCCGTCTTCTCTGTTTGGGTTCTTGTGCGTTATTTCTGAATTCTAAGACATAAAGTAGTGTTACATTGCAACCTTCCAGCCAGAGTATTTTGTTTTTATCGAATTTCTCTGTCTGACATGACCATAACAATCTAGACTTGAACTTGTTGGCTCACACCCTTCTTTAAGCTTCTGTCAGAGAGAAGTTTGCTCAGAAAAGATCATTCTGGGCTTCCCACCTGGCCCCATGCATTTTGCAGGATCCCTTGTTACTTCCTCCTGCACAGCTTCATCTAACCTGCTCTCAGATTTCTGCACCACACGTCTCTGCCATCTTCTCTGGCCCTTGCTCAACTGCTCAGCTTATTAAGAACCGCCCCCTCCCCCAAATGATCTAGCCTAAATACTTCCTTCTGTAGCTTCAGGACATTGCTATGTATCCTGCCATCTTCAGAGACCACAACTAATTCCCGTCCTTCATTTATATAGCTATTTAGAAGGTATTTATAGACTGTGATCTTGAGTTGACAGAGGGTTTTTATATATACAAGGAGCTCAGCCACTAACTGCCTAAAATGCTCAGAATCAGAACACTGTGTGTGTTACCTAAGACTATAAGAATGACCATACTGGGTCAGACCAAAAGTCCATCTAGCCCAATATCCTGTCTTCCGACAGTGGCCGATGCCAGGTGCCCCAGAGGGAATAAACAGAACAGGTAATCATCAAGTGATCCATTCCTTGTCGCCCATTCCCAGCTTCTGGCAAACAGAGGCTAGGGACACCATCCCTGCCCATCCTGGATAATAGCCATTGATGGACCTATCTTTCATTAATTTATCTAGTTCTTTTTTTGAACCCTGTTATAGTCTTGGTCTTCACAACATCCTCTGGCAAGGAGTTCCACAGATTGACTGTGCATTGTGTGAAAAAATACTTCTTTTTGTTTGTTTTAAACCTGCTGCCTATTAATTTCATTTGGTGACCCCAGGTTCTTGTGCTATGTGAAGGATTAAATAATTCTTCACACCAGTCACGATTTTATAGACTTCAATCATATCCCCCCTTAGTTGTCTCTTTTCCAAGCTGAAAAGTCTGTCTTCTTATTCTCCCCTCATATGGCAGCCGTTCCATACCCCTAATCATTTTTGTGGCCCTTTTCTGAACCTTGTCCAATTCCAATATATCTTGTTGTTTTTTTTTTGAGATGGGGTGACCACATCTGCACGCAGTATGTGTGTTAATGCTCAACTATTGCATCTTATGGGCTACTTATGGGTAGTAGGGTCTCTCCCACAATCTTTAGGAATTTTTAAAATCCCATCTTTCCAGTGATGATCCAGCAGTTGTGTCTGAACTTCTGATGCAGTTATTACTTGTGTAAGTTGATCAGACTCCTCTCCTCCTGCCCATAGGTGCTGGAACGAAAAGCGCTGAGGGTGCTGCCACACCCCCTGGCTTAAAGTGGTTTCCATCATGTGCAGGGTTTACAGTTTGGTTCAATGGCTCTCAGCACCCCCACGATACAAATTGTTCCAGCCCCCCTGCTCCTGCCTGTCCCCTAATAGGGACATAGGATGGAGCGTTTGTACATAAGTCTCCTGCTGGTTGCGATTACTGTATCACCCTTTGCTGTGTCTCATGTAACGTTCTTGTCGGACACCATGCTGCTTTGCGATGTGGAATGACTGTCGTCATATGAAGTGCTAGTGATGCCTCTGTGGTCTTGTGAGCCCTGCTTTCAGAATGCCTCTCTGAAACTGGGATAATTCTGCAAGCTATGGGACAGGCAGGACCCTTCGCTGCTGTTCAGGCGAGCTTTGGGGGAGCGGAAAGTCAAAGGAGGATTATGGAAAAGGCTTATTTTGGAAGCCAATAGTGGTAGCACATCTTGAATGACTCTAGGATTTTAGAGACCCACCTCCCCAGCCTTGGCATGATCTGCAGACCAGTGCCTGTCTGATGCCCTATGAGCAATGGGTGCTGGCTATCCTACCTGCCCCCAAAGGAAATGGTGAACCTCTGGCCATCAGCTGACCATTCTGAATCTGCTCTCGCTGTCCAGTTTTCCCACAGAGTAATGCACAAACATGCTGGGACCCGCAGGCCCGCTGCAGGATGTGGGTATGAGGAGATGTGCTAGGGAAAGTGGGCCCACAAGGGAGTTGGTGTCTGAACACTTCACCTATTGAGTGGGGGTGGTCCGAGGGGAGCAGCAGAGTTCAGAGCTGTCTAATGTTGGAGCCTAGGACTTGTTTTTTCCCTTAGCTGAGCGAGGGCAGATGGTCTTCGGATCCTCTACCTGAAGTCCTGATTGCTTGTAGACCTTACATTTCCCATAGAGTTCCTGGAGTGTCTAGTCCTATTATTGCCCGGGCCAAATTTGAACTCTGGTAAGTACGTTCAGCATAGTTGAAGTGCCTGCTGCAGTGTGAAATTAGATCTTCTATAGCATTCTTCTGTGTTTGCTGATGCATCATCCCACCTAGAGATGGCTCTCAGCAGTTTTGGGTGGAGAATGATCCCCATGTACTACAGAGGGATCTGAACACTCCTGGACTCTGGACCAGATCTTTGTAGCTAGTCTCTGTCTAATTGGTTACTCATGAAAGGCGTGTGCTCTGCATTATTCATTCTACTGTAATGCTATTGAGTTTGCCTCTCTTTGGTACTTGGACTATCGCTTACCGAGTGCATTGGGTCTGTTTCATTATCTAATACAGGGAAGTGGGAGACTGTGCCTGAATATAATGAAGTAGAGCCCATCCCCGGGCAATAGTGATGCGAGGTTTGCCAGCTGAGCAGTGGTTGGTTGGCCAGCACACAAGGGGTCTGGAGGCTTCAGTCCAGACCCTAATGGGCAGACGTTCGTGTCACCCAGACCACAGGGATCAGCTTAACCCCACTGTCTTCTCCTCCAGTTTTGGACCATGGGGAGCAGCAAGAGCAAACCCAGAGACCCCAGCCAGAGGAGACGCAGCCTGGAATCTGCTGAGAACGCCCACCATGGTGGCTACCCTTCCTCTCAAACGCCCAGCAAGACGCCTGTCCCAGACGCCCATCGGACCCCCAACCGCTCCTTTGGGAGCATGGCAGCTGAGCCGAAGCTCTTCGGAGGCTTCAATACATCCGACACAGTCATGTCCCCGCAGCGCTCAGGGGCTTTAGCTGGTCAGTATGACGTCAGCTCTGACCTGCCGGAGGGGGAGGGGCATCTGGAGGAGGGAGGGTGTTAGAAGGGAGCCAAGCGCTCGATGAGGAAGAACCGTGAGCCTTAGGCTGGGGGGGGAGGGGGCGTATGGCAGGTGGGGGCCATTTTTGCCAGGTGTGAGGAAGGCTGCAGTGGAGAATCCAGACTTGCAAATGCCATGAGGAAAGCAGAGGCTGTGCGCACCCGGCTCATGGCTAATTGCCATGGAGGGGCAAATGTTTCCTGGAGCAGGAGGGTGGCTAACAGGATGAGTTTGGGTCTGTTTCAGGTGGAGTCACCACCTTTGTGGCCCTCTACGACTATGAGTCACGGACGGAAACAGACCTTTCCTTCAAGAAAGGGGAGCGCCTCCAAATTGTCAACAACACGTAAGTGTGTCTGCCTGCTCGCTGGGCTGGAGACACCTGTGCTGCGTGGGCTGGCGTCTCCCTTGGAGGGGTTTTGACCCTTGCTGCTCAGGGGAGCCCCGCTGGTAACGTTCTTGCCTCAAAACTGCTCTTCTCCCTCTTGCTTCTCCCCTTTCTTCCATGTTTAACCCCCGGCTGGTCACGTCTGTTGCCTGGTGTTTGCACGTGGTTCCTCTGGGATCCTTCCCAAAGCCCGGTGGTGCGGCTGTCTGCCTGAGGAGGGCTGGGCTGTGTCTCCTGTGCTAGCAAAGAGCCCCTGAGCTAGACCCAGGGGATTTATCAAGAGCACCACAAGGTGCCGTTTCTGTCTCCTGGGGCTGCTGCCAGCCAGGGAGCTTGGGGGCTATGTAGCAGCCCGTGCAGCACTACGTGGTGATGGGCAGCTGGTGAGATCCTCCAACTTGCCCCATTCAAGCAGCCTCCCTTCTTACCTCCCTAGCCCTCCGCCCCAGGACTGGGGAGGGCTGGGTATGGTTCCCTGCTGCGCTGCCCAGCGCGCTGGCCAAAGGTGTCTTGCTAGAGAGGCTCCAGTCCCAACCTTCAAGGAGGCAGTGAAAGGAAACTGACCTGCTCTAAGGAGCATACCTGTGACTGGAGTCATGTGGTGTTTTCTCTTCTCCTTTGTGAAATAATGGTGCCCCCAGGTCTCAGTCCCCAGCGTCCTGCCCATCCCTTGAGCACTGGATGTGATGTGTATCTAGGGGCAGAGGCAGTGAATGCACCTCAGATAGTTTGACAGGCATCCTATGGTCCATGCAGAGGGTCTCCCATGGAAGTGGGTAACAAACACCTGCTAGCCCTGCAAGAGGATCCACTGGGAAGACTGGGAAGCCCTCTGTGTCTTGATGTGACGCCCTGCAGGGTGGGGGGGTTTAGGTGCCAAGGGAACCGCATTAACCCAGGCAGCCTGCGCTGCAGGAGTTGGGCAGCAGAATGAGGCATTTGGGAAATCCTGGGGGTTACTGAGTTAGTCCTGCTCTCTTCCTAGAGTTGGGTCCTGCATCTGGCCTGCTCTCCCCACTGCTTGGGCGGGGTTGGTGGTATGGAGCTAGAGGCAGTCTGTGCTCTGGGAAGGTCCTGGAGGGGAACAGCCAAGGGAGGTGAGCAGCGAGCATGCACAGGGCCCACTGATAGAATGCAAATGGCGTCTTCCCTTAGAACAATCACTAAAGTCACCACAGTCCCCTCGAAGCGAGGTGCACAGAGGTTAAGTGCTGTGCCCAGGGCCACAGAGAGAGCTGGCGTGTGACTCGGGAGTCCCTGGCTCCCAGTTCTGTGCTCGGACCACTTCACAGTTCCCCTCCATAAGCTGTGAAACAGCCCTCTGCTGCTGACGCTGTGGAGAGGGATTGTTGGTTGTTTCTCTGGCTGCTGGAAGCATCTGAGGTGTCTGTGGCAGGTGCTTTCTGGGGTGAGCTAGACCTAGAGGCTCTTATTGAAAGTTGCATTGTCCAGATCAGCTTTAGTTTGCCCTAGTGTTGGGGCCAGGCCTCTTCCTAATAGGCCTCTAGGGTGAGCCAGAACTGGCTTCCACTCTCCCTGCCCTACCACCACCACTCGCCAAAACAAACTATCATTGGGAGGTATTGTCCTGTTACTCGTGGTGCCCCTTGGCTGCCAAATCTCTCCTCTGTCTAGTAGCATCAACTTCCCCCGTCTTTAAATAAATCACACCTCTCAGGGGGGTTATTATGCTTTCCTGACTCTGTTGCTGACAGCCTCACTCGAGGCGACAGGATCTCAAATCCCTTTCGATTGCCTTGTGAGATCTCTCCACGCACAATTTTCCCAGTCACTGTCCAGCCACGCCAGCGCCTGTGCGGTACCTCTAATCTAAGCCCTGTCTCTTTCTCTCCTGCACAACATGCTTTCATTTAGGAGAAAAGTGGATGTCAGGTGTGTATCTGTTTTTACTTTTTTGTTTAAAGCCAACTTCCTTCCCGGGTGAGCTAAAGGGCAGCTGGGGAGGGGGTTGTTTTGTGGTCCATTTATGGTCGTCGGTCACAGTTTGCATTTGGGCCCCTTTGTTTTGTTTTTCCCCCCAGTGACGCTTTTATAGGTTCATTTTCTAACTACTAAATAGCCCTGCCTAAATCCATGTGCCCATACTGCGGTGGTGTGAATTCAGTCCCCTCCTCTCATCCAGGTCTGGCACCTTCTTCCCTCATCCCTTCCCAACAAAGCACTTCTTACTTGTTTGTTTTCTCTCCCCCTTTTTTGTTTCTCCCATTCATCCAAGCCACCAGTGCACCCTGCTTTCCAATGGCAATGGGGGATGCAGGCAGGACCAAGTGAGGACTGCTTTCACCCTGCCTCTCTGAAATTCCTGGCGCTGCACCCCTTGATCACTTCAGCTGCCCTGGTGGCCATTCTTGCCAGCTCATTGCATGCAGTTGGAAGTAGGATGGTGCAAAGGGCTGCTGTAGGAGAGGTGTTGAATTTGTTCTTCATTGGAACCAAGTATGTGCTTTTGAATAAGTGTGCATGCACAGACAAGCCTATCAATAGGTACATTTCAGAGCTCTTAAAGTGCACTGGCCGAATAACCATGCTTCAAGGAATGTGCATGCTCTGCTGGCAAAGGCTGTGCTGTGGGAGACGCATCAGTCTGGGTTCTTACACTTTCCCCTGCCACTTTCTTAAAACTAAGGAAACTTAAAATGTGAAGGGAACACTTAAAGATTGCAACATCGAGCACTGGCAGGTCCAATAACTCCCTGCGTGTGAGGTTTCTCCTGCTATGTTACTTGTGTAGTGTTACCCAAATGGAATTTTTCAGTTCCCAACTCCTGTGTGTTTTTGGTTATTAACTCAAGCCATAAAATCTAATGTGCGAAGTGGCGGAGTTCAATGTTGCAGAAGAAACCTTAACTTTGGGAGTGTCCTGACCCCTTTTTGAACGTTTGACTTTTGGAATCTTAATTTTGTACTAACACTAGCTTTGGTTTCTAATGAGTACTCCTAAAAGGAGGAATCTGCCTATTGGGGATTCTGGATTGTGCAAATATCTGGGGGAGGTTCCCCCCACTCCCATGCACAAAAGGCACCTCTGCTTTCCATCTGAATGACATTTGCTCACTATCCCAAAGTACGTGTGTCTCCTTTGTACATGCTGCAGGAACTCTGAGAACAAAATGGCTATCTCTGCAGGGTGGGTAAAGTTCTTGGAACTTTTAAGGTGCAGTGCGCAGGAGAAAAGACATCAGTTTCAAACAACATACCCCACAGTATCCAGTGTAACCGCATTGCTGTGACCTTCACTTTATCAGAGTTAAAAAACACCTTTAGAAAGCAGCTTCACGCAGTGCTGTTAGGGGAGTGACTAACCTATACATGTTGGATGATTGAAAAAAACGTAATCTTCTGCCTAACACACTGAGATGTGCAGACATTCCTGGGATAACCACCCATCTTGTCAAGCATTCTCGCTGACCTAGCAGTAGAGCTGGCATTCTAGCCACATGTTCTGAATGCAGTTAGCCCGAAACCTAGTCATTTTGTTTTCCTTTTGCAAAGTATCATTAGAAAAATATGTGGCAGATGGAAAATCCTGCCTGGCGATACATCCAGGCCCTTTGGTATTGGAACTAGAGTCATGTAACCTCTCGTGAAATGTGTCTGGTTGCGTGGGTTACAAACTCCCACCCACGCTTGGTTTTCAGTCAATCTGGGTTGGTTTATAGGTTTGCTCCGAAACCACACAGAGCTCGGTGTCTTCAGCAGTTTTCTTCTGGAGTCGCTGACCTTGTTTCGACTCAGTTAAACTTGAGAAGGATCCATATGCTTGGAGTGAGAGAGGACTATTGCGTGGACCCCTTTGGGACCTGAGGAGAGAGACAGGTGCCTAGCCAGGAGGGGACTACACCTTTGCAAAGCTGGGAAGATAGTAAGTGGCAAGGCCTTTCCTCTGCCCCTGAGCTTTGGTAGCCTATAGCCATAGCTCGTATAAAAGGTGTGTGGGCCTGCCAAAGTCACTGTGGAATAGCACAGCAAGTTTGCAACGAGAGCTGCCCCGCTCCATTTACCACCCCTTAATGAGAGGTTAATGTCAGGGCTGACTGGACCATTTCAAATGCTCATGATACGCACTGTAGAGATGGCCCCCCAAATAATGTCCCCCCCATATGAATAATTGGATCGCCCAAACTTGATGTGGTTAGAAATCCGCCCCTGCTTCAGAACTGCCAGAATAAACCAAATTTTGAAATCTCAGAATTTCCCATCAGTTTCACTTTTCAACCAGCTCTTGTTCATCCTCGTTGCCCAGTCTCTGTCCCCCCTGTAATGGATTCAGTACAGCACGGACCCGTGGCATGGGGGGAGTGTGGAATCCCTTGAGCTATTCCCCATGCCTTTCCATGGAGAGGGATCTCTCTTCAGAGTGGCCCACTGGCAGCACACCTACCTACTTAGGGAACAGTTTGGTAGGATGCCACCATCTGCCATCGTCCTGGGTGTTGCAGTGCAGACTGGATCCCGATCATGGGTGTGTAAGCAGTTTGGCCAGGCCTCCCAGCTCTCTTTTTAAATTAAATTAAATTAATGGAGATCTCCTAGAACTGGAAGGGACCTTGAAAGGTCATTGAGTCCAGCCCCCTGCCTTCACTAGCAGGACCAAGTACTGATTTTGCCCCAGATCCTTAAGTGGCCCCCTCAAGGATTGAACTCACAACCCTGGGTTTAGCAGGCCAATGCTCAAACCACTGAGCTATCCCCTCCTCCCTCTTTAGTAAGAGCTCCCAGAGTGCATTGCCCTCTGGATTGCTCTACATGCATCTCCTCTGGCACTGTAGCCTCTGCTGAGGCAGGATGGCATAGTTGACATGAGTTTCCCAGAATGCACTGTTGCTATCTATCTTAGCTACTTATTTGGCCCTCATTCCTGTGTTATCTAAGCACCTCACAACCTTCAATGTATGTGTATGTCACACCCCTGAGAGACAGGGCAGTGCTATTTTGCAGGTGGGCAAGTCACTTTCTCTCAGTGCTCCAAGATCTTATTGGGCAGCATGGTAGATGCAAACATGGTCATATTATTAGAAAAAGCTGCTGTGTGGACAGTTTCACTGGGACAAGTGACTGTCACAAATATGTTAAACACCACTGCACTGGCCTTGTAAATAGATGTGCTTGCTAACAGGGCAGTATTGGTGCACCTGCAGATGCACCATAGTTCACCATTATACAGAGTGAAAACACCTGCAAAATGGGTCATGAGATGGCCTGAGCCACCAAAGGGTGAGGGGTCTGGATCCAGGTTTTGGGTTAGCCCATTGTGCAGGGAGGGACTAGCAGTGGATCTGAATTTCCCCATGCTTAAGGTGGAGAGTTCAGATCTGGAAGATGTGTGGTTGGGTTTCTTTTGTTAACTCAGACCATCTCTTAAAATGTGCCTTCAAAAAAACCTCAAGTTATCCATTCATTTGAAACATTGTTCTGAAAATATGAATCCTCTGGTAAAGTCTCTCAAGACCCTTATCAGGAATCTGCAGAGTTCTTGTAGATTTGTTTATCCTCCAGTCACAGTAAATTAGACACATGCTCGTCCTTCCTCCCTCCCATCTGACTCCGATAGAACAGTCTCTGTAATATGTGACTGCCATCTCCCATAGAACAAAACTTCCCCAGTCTTCTGGCATTCCTTTCTGCTTGTGACCCACTTACAAGAATCCCCTGAGACCCCAGTGAAAATCTGGGAACTGGTGCGACGAAGTCGTTGCCCTGGATTTGTTTTCTCACTTCACCAGTCTGCTCATCACAGATTGCTGCTAATGGAAATGACAGCCGTACTTTATTGTGACAAGATGGTGGGCTTGACTATCCCATTATCCATCTCATAGCCCTAGATGTGTTTAGACACTACAGTGAGGAATCAGCATAATCTAGATTGGCTCATCTCAAATTCCAGCCTTGTAAAATTGTACTTGGGGCAAGTAACACTTTTGTGGGCATATACATTGGCTCCATCCTCCTGGTGTAGGTGAGCAAGTAGACTTGTTAAAGTAGATTTTAACAACTTGTACATCTAGTCACTAAGCATGTGTGCACAGTAGCAGTAATTGTATGTGTAAATGGCTATGCATAATCCCATGGGCAAACGATGCACTTTTGCCCATGCAGTTAGGAATATTTGAACTTTGTGTCTGGACTGGAAAATTTTCCTGCCCATTTCCCCAGGCTGCCGTGCCATCTGATCTGTGTAAGTGCTGTGTTAGGGGTACATACACTCGTTCCTTTCAAAGTGCAGGGAGGAGGTCTTTTGGGGGAGTTTGTGCTGTCATCGTAGTCTATGAAACCGCTTGGTGGAGTCTGAGACACCTCTGTTCTGAGGAAACGTGTTCTCAAAACCACACGGAGAGTTTGTCTACCCAGCAGCCAAGGCCTCACTTGTGAAATTCTGCAAGATAAAGACATTCCAAACCACCTTGGCATTCAGGGAGTGCTTTCAGGGTTAGTCATTTAGAGAGAGAGAGAGAGGAGCACGCACCGCATGGAGCAGGAGCCACTGCTGTGTGCCTCTTGCTTGCTTCACATAAAGCTTATGGACCACATCTCACCAGGGCTGCAGCCAGCAACTTGTGCGCGACCACATGAATAACTGAGCTCCTAGACAGCTTCTTCAAGTGACTCCTGGGATAACACAGAAGTAGCTCTGAGCTCCCCATGCAGCCCAGTACTGAAGCATGGCTCCATAGGCACCGACTTTTACTTTCCCCAGGGGTGCTCTGGCCCCTCCCATGAGGCTCCACCCCCTGCCCTCACTCTGCCTTTTCCCGCCCCCAGGCCCCAGCTTGCTGTTCTTCACCTTTCCCCAAGCTGCCAATCTTGCACCAAACAGCTGTGGCTGGTGGGTGCTGAGTACCCGCTATTTTTTTCTGTGGGTTCTCCAGCCCCGGAGCACCCACAAAGTTGGCACTTATATGACTGCATCCATTTCTGCTGGGAGAGCTCCTGGCCCAATCACGTAAGCTCCTCATACAGGATCAGTGATCAGGAGAGATTATACGAAACCTGACGCCAGTCATGACCATCCTGTTCCCAGTGAATTCAAAAGGAGTTTTGCCACCAAAGTAAATGGCAGCGCCAATCAAGCCCTGTTAAGTGACATTCATGCCTCAATCATTTGTTTTTCACGCTCTGTCCCTCCCCTTTTTTCCTCTCTTCCTTCTTGTTGCTTTTATGTGATTTGCATTTAACAAACAAGTCTCCTTTGTTTGGCCGTCTTTTCTAGCATGCTTTTTTTAATTATCACAGTCATTTTGCTTTTTTCTTTTCTTTTCTTTTTCTTTTCCTTCTCTGCTTCCCTGTTCTTTCTGCTCTCTGGAATTTCCAATGCGTCACACTTCAGCCAGACTTGGTTCAAATTCAGATGGCTCCAAAGGTATTTTCAATGGGTATCTGATGTGCCCTTTTTAAGTAAGGAGTTTCCTTATTTAAAAGGCTATCGCCTGTGCTGTGTGTATGTGAGAGTGATCGCACAGTGACTGTGGCCATCGCATGCCTTATGGGACCAACGTGGTATCCGCACTGGAATCTCTGGTCAAATGGCATTTCTGAGTTAAACGTCGGGTGCCCTGATACCGGAGCAATTTGACCCTTGTGGCCAATGTATTTCCTAGAGCATTTGGTTTGCTGGTGCCATGGGTTGTCATGATGGTCAGTGGTAAATCCCCCCCTGCGTTGATGGGAATTGCAGGTGCTCGGCACCTCGGGCTCTGCCCTCTGTGAGCAAAGTTCCGTTATTAGTTCCCCTGCCAGCTTGGCTATTGCCCCCAGCGATTCTAATGGTCCCTTGGAGATGGTACTTCAAGGTGAATTTCTAGTGACTGCCATGGGAGCGGTTGTAGTTGATGGTAAAATTAATATTGAGAGCAAAGTGTGATGCTTTCTGTGGCCTAACAATTCCGCTGCTCATCTGAAATGTAGGGTTGCCAGTTTTGGTTGGACGGATTCCTGGAGATTTCATCACACGACAATCTTTAATTAAAGATTAATCTTTAATTCCTGGAGACTCCAGGACAATCCTGGAAGCATGGCAACCCTAGTAATGACTGCAGGGAACATGGGAAGGTGGGCATACAGTAGGGCTCACAGCACCCAGACCCCAACCTGAACTAACTCGCCCTGAACCTTCGAGAGCTTCTCCCTTGCCCTGTTGACTCTAAATCAGGTGTCAGTCCAATCTGACTGTAGCTTTGGGTCTCTGAACATCTCCTGGTTCAGTAAAGCTGTGGGCACCCAACGGTGACCTAAGCAAAACAATCCAGAAGAACTAGCTTGGAAATAACCCCAATTCCAGTGAGCTCCCTGAAAGGGCCAGGGTTGCCTGTTTGCAATACCTCCAGCCCAGGGAGTCCACTCTTGGTTGCCAGCTACTTGGGGATGACTTTACTGCTCGAGAAGTTCCTCTTTTTGAATGTCTGTCTCTCTTTATTTCTCTTCCAGGGAAGGAGACTGGTGGCTGGCTCACTCCCTCACGACAGGACAAACGGGCTACATCCCCAGTAACTATGTCGCACCCTCAGACTCCATCCAGGCTGAAGAGTAATTGAAATCTTTTTAGACAGTTTAAAAGAACAATGCAAACAGCCTGCCAAGTATATTTTTTTCAGACATTTTTTGTAGCCTCCTAAAGGTTTTTGTGGGCTTTCTGAGCTTGCCACTCTGTTAAATGTTTTGTTGTCTTTCTCGGGCATGCTCAAAGCCAAATGTTAAGACTGTATATGTTTTTGTGCCATATACAGTGAAATCCGTCTTGAGCAACTGCCCAGGGGTGGCCTGTGTAGTAGATGTGGCCCTAAAGGATCTGTATTTTTTTTTTTCTTTTTTTTCAGACCAAATAGGCATTTAATTGCATAGGCAAGATGTTGACTAATTTACATATGCAAATTAGGGACAGCATGCCAATAGTCACACTTGCACCTGCAATGGCCCTATTTGTGTATGCAATCCCACTAGTGGTCTGTGCAAACGAGGCATGTGCAATTGGCTGCACCACTAATTTTAATGTAAATCTACCCTGACAGGTTGCACGCACCATGCTGGAAGGCTTGACAGGGCTAACCCCAAATCACACAGACTCCCATCTGAACACTGCTGCAGGCACTCCTGCAGCTTCCACTACGCTGTGAAATTAACACCCACTTTCTGCTCCACATCTGCGGGGGGGCAGAGTTCTTGGAGTAACACTGGGCTGGGATGCCTGGGGGACACTTTAATTAAAAAAGACAAGTGACTGCGTATGACACAGAATTGCTTTGGGGGGGAGAGGCTTTTGCTGTTTACCTAATTATATCTTTCCCAATAGATCCCTAGCCCCCTGGCCGTTGGGATTTGAGAACTCTGACGAATGCCTCTGGCTGTTAATGCAACCCTTGGTTCTAGCAATCGGTGCTATGGGGGAGGGGATGTTGGGACATCCCTCTCTAAAACGTGGTAGCCGTAATGAAGAGGGTCTAAATCCAAGGCGTTTTCCTTTGCTGATCTGTTGCTTGCTCTTCCAGGTGGTATTTTGGGAAAATCACTCGCCGGGAGTCAGAGCGGCTCCTGCTCAATTCTGAGAACCCCCGAGGAACCTTCCTGGTCAGGGAGAGTGAAACCACCAAAGGTAACTGAGTCCCCGGCAGCGCTTAGGTCCATGGCGAAGGCCTATGGGGTGGTTAAGTCTTGGAGAACCGTCCCTATATGGTGCTTCTGTTAGGATCTGGAGGCACAATGCAGTGGGTGGCCAGTCTGCTGGGTTCAGGTGTCTCCCCAGGCTCTGTTCTCCCGCTCACAAAGATGGAATGAGGAGATGCTAGCTGGCATTGCTGAAAGGCCCCCCTTCTCTGTGCACACAACCCCTATAGTGCCCCCTATCCTGTGCTTATAGGGGCAGCCTATCTGCAGTACCCCCAGAACCCTTGTCCTGCACCAAGGGCCAATACTCACCCTTAATCGGTGACCTTCTTGCTTTTAACCCTTGCACTTTTAATCTGTCCCCACTCAGCCAGCTGTTCCAATGGGTGGTTCCCCCCTCTCTTTCTCCAGCCGATTGGCTGAGAGCTGGGTGGGATTGAAAAGTCTGGTGTAAACAGTCTCCGATCTTGTGCTCGCCTCTTCCCCTCCGGGAGAACAGTGCAAAAACTGGGTCACTGAGCTAGGAATAGCTGGGTAACCAATGGCAACGGAGAACTCTGCAGTTCCCTCCTTCCTGTAGTGCCAGGGGCTGTTGGGTTGGAGCTGCTTCATGAAGACCGTGTGAGGACCTGGCTGAGGGGTGGAGCAGGCTAGCTTATACCCGGGCAGCAGCAGCCTCTGCATCGGCAGAGAGCCTGGCTGTGAATTACATCCGCCCTGGGTGCTTGTGCTTGCTAAGATTTCACCAGCCTTGCTCTGACCTGGTGCGCTCAGTGCAAGCAGCATAATTGCTCTGAGTCGTACAGAGATTTAGACTTGGGGGTGGGGTATTCAGTTAATATAACTGGGGAGGAGGGCTGAATGTTGTGTCTCTGACATGGGTGAGTTCCGGTGCTGTCTCCAAGCTGGGTTGGAGCGTGCAATCCAAGGCCCCAAACAGCTCTCTGCATGCTGACATGAGATGTTCTGGGATGGTGAAGTTTAGGACTGGTATAAATGGGGGTATATAGTAACTTATGTAGCAACCTCCCTCTAGATGGATTCCCATGTGCTTCAGGCGTAGGCTTCATCTGTGCTTGGAGCTGGGCGCGTGATTCCCAGCTCGCGTCGGCAGCTCGCCCTAGCTCTCGTTGAGCTAGTGTGCTACAAATAGTAGTGTAGCTGTGGAAGCATGGGGAGCAGGGACTGGCAGCATGGGCGAGCTGCCCTGAGTATGTACCCTTGGGATCTGGCACGGGTTTGTCCCCCTCACAGCTAACCCGTGCCACTGCTCACTGCTGCCTGTGCTACTGTAGCTAGCTCAAGGAGAGCTAGCGTGAGTCTACACAGAGTCTCGGAGCCTGGGTCAGACTCAGGCTCGTGGGGGTCAGGTTACTGAACTAAAAATAACTGTGTAGATGTGGGCTGGAGCTTGGGCTCTGAAGCCCATCCCCATCCTTAGGCTTCAAAGCCCAATCTCCTGTCAGAGCCGCAACATTTCCATGGCTTTTCTTAGCGCTGTAGCCTAAGTCAGCCTAAGTGTGCCAGACTCACTCCCCCTCCTCTGTTGTGCACTCATCTCTGGGTGTTAGGTGGCAATGCTACGCAGCCATCATGCTTGCAGTGCCTAGAGATCTTGCCCAGGTCCAGGGCTCTGTGGCAGGCATTGTACAAACACATGGGAAGGCAGTCCCTCCCCACGAGAGCTTAGCCTTTGGAGATCAGACAGAGAAGAAGGGAGATTATCCCCATTTTGAAGAGTAGAAACTGAGGCCCAGGGAGTTTCTCAAGGTCACACGAGATGTCTGTGTTAGCTCAGTTCCTGGCTCTGCATCTCCCGAGTTCCAGCAAAGCGTGTTCAGGAGGGGAAGTTCAGACTAACTTCTCCCACTTCAACGACTGGGTGAACCTATGTTAACAGAGGGTCACCACCCATATAAGGATTTGGTCAGGGCTCTAGGGAGTCTGTCTGTCTTGTGCTGCAAAAAATCCATTTAAACCACTAAAAAGAGGAAGCCTGGAACATTTCGCTGCTTGAGAGTTGGCTTGGTTTGGATTTGTGCTGAGGCGGATTTTCGACACTCCACAACAGCACAAGTCTGTTGAGCAGGTTGCCAGTAGCTCACTAGGTCATGCAAGTTACGAATTTTATTTTTGTATGTGGAGGCCTCTTTGCCCTAAAATGAATCCAAACCACTCCCTTGCCAGGATTGACCCTGCTTGCCTACCTAGAGTGCCCGCATCTATCCTGGGTACTGGTGGAGCCCCCATTGCCCCCCAACATTTAAAAATGGAAATAGCACGTGCACACTCTCCTTTCTCAGACCATTGGAGCAATAGCTTGATTTAATTCATAGGCTTGTTTGTAGGAATGCGTGAGACGAAACACAGGCACCGACTTTCTTCTGTCTGGGTGGGTACTCCACCCCTGCTCTGCCCTGAGGCCCTGCCCCTTTCCCCAAGGCCCCACCCTTTCCCCACCTCTTCCTGCCCCTGCTCCCCTTCCTCCCCCCTGCACCTCCTGCACACCTCTAAACAGCTGATTGGTGGGTGCTAAGCACCCACTTGTTTTTTTTCTGTGGGTGCTCCAGGGCTGGAGTTGGCACCTGTGAGAAGAAAAGCTAATCTGCTCTTCGAGGCCTCTGGGGGATGCCTCTGTCTCAGTACTACTGCCAATGAGCAGTTGGATACTGTAAAGACAATCAGGTATCAGAGGGGTAGCTGTGTTAGTCTGGATCTGTAAAAAGCAACAAAGAGTCCTGTGGCACCTTAAAGACTAACAGATGTATTGGAGCATAAGCTTTCATGGCTGAATACCCACTTCGTCAGACACATGTCTGTAGAGGCAATGTGCTACTTCCACCCGTGTCCAGTGCCAAGTGTTTGGTGGAAAAGGCCCTTTGACGGTAGGTCTGCACAGTGTGGTTCTTAGTGTGTGTTGACTGACTCGCGCTATCTCTGCACGAGGGGAAAGCACTCAAAATAGCAGTGTCAACACTGGCAGTGGCTCCGGCTAGTCACCTGAGCTCGGACCCAGAGGCTCGGGTAGGCTTGGACTAGGGCAGCTAGTCTGAGCTACCTCCTGTGCTGTGATGTTCATGCTGCTCTCTTTAATGCGCTTTCTCGAGCAGAGCTAGTGGGAGTCTACTCGTGCTGGGAATCACACCTCCCAGCTGCAGTGTAGACAGACCTTAAGGGGGCTACATGGTATAATGTTTGGGACTGGGAGTCAGGGCACATGGATTTTCTTCCTAACTTGGTCACTGGCTCGCTGTGAGACTGTGAACAAATTGCTTTGTTGCTCTGCCAGTGTTTCCCCATCTGCATAGAAGGTGTTGCATTTCACTTCACAATTTTTAGGCTTGATTCAGTGTTTGCCAGCTCTCGTGACTTTGCTGGTTCTCACCCCCCAATAAATACTGCAAGACTCACAATGAAGTTCCAGCTCCTGGAGTCATGTGATTTTTGAAACATTTGTGGTTTTATTAGCCCTTCCTGGTTGTGGAGGAAACCTGGAAAATGTGATCCCTATCCACTCCACCTGCCCTCACAAAGGTTCAAGACTCAGAGGCATATAGACTTTTTTGGTTCTTTTTATTTTTAAAAAATGTTATGGCTTTGGGGGGAGGGCTGACTCACTATTTTTGCACACTTGGGTTGGCGCTCCTGTTAATGAACAGGACGCTGGTCAAATTTTGGCCCCAAATGGAGATCTGGGAGCTCCTGAAAACACTTCATTAAGTCTTAGAATCAGCATGACTTTTTTTTATTATTATTCCAGTGAAAACAGTTTATATGAATAAAGCACTAGCCGTCCCCTGCCGAGCTGGCAGCCTAAACATGGCAGTGCTGGGAGCTGAGCTGGAGCCCCCCCGAGCTCCAGAATCCCAATGCCCTCCAAAGCTGGAGGGTGCTGGGGTTTGGGGATTAGCCTGGGCCCTTTCTTTGAGAATGGCTTTAAACATGATTTTTAGCCTGAGGGGTCTGTCTCTCGTATCTAGCAACGACCCATCCGAGGTGCTATGGCAGTGCAACACACTCTTACTTCCTCTCAGAAAGCGGGGGCTTGGAGCTCTCCTCCCCACCCTTCCAGCTCCCACAATCCAACTGTTCCCCTCTTTGGGGATTGGGACACGGCTGGTTCCTGCCTAGGCAGATTCCTCCTTTGTTGCTTTTGTTGTTATCTGGAGCCTTTCCCAGTCGTGCATTCATCTTCGCTCCTCTCACATGGCTGCTTGCCCTGTTGCCAACCCAACCAGCACTAGCAAGGCTCCAGAGGTCACGTTCCCTTTTGCCAGCTGTTTCCCCTCTCCCGGCTTGGCTCCTGTAAGCCAGCAGGGACTCTTCCTATTCATACCTCATCCGGGAATCACACAGGGAGGCACCTTTGTCCTCTTACCCTCACGTCCCCACAGGGAGGTGATAGCAGGGCCAGCTGATCCTAGGGTACATCTACACTACAGCGGGGAGTCGGTTTAAGATACGCAAATTCAGCTACGTGAATAGCGTAGCTGAATTCGACGTATTACAGCCGACTTACCCCGTTGTGAGGACGGCGGCAAAATCGACTTCTACCGCTTTTTGTCGGCGGCGCTTACTACCACCTCCGCTGGTGGAGTTAGAGCGCCGATTCGGGGATCGATTGTCACGTCCCCACGGGACGCGATAAATCGATCCCCGAGAGGTCGATTTCTACCCGCCGATTCAGGCGGGTAGTATAGACCAGGCCCTAGACACCTCACCAAAATATTCTCCATCTCCCTGTACATTCCACTGAAGAGCCATGTCCCCATTTAAAGGGAAGTGGCTGGTTTTTGTGCCTGCCCTTTTGTGTACTCTGCATTTTGGTGCTATTCATTTCATGTTTCTTCCCCTCCACTCTCCTGTCGATGCCTTGTTAAACCAATCCAGTGAAATTGGAACAAAGATTACGATCTCTATGGGCCAGAGAAGTGGTCAGGAGTACACCTGTGTGAGTGGGTGTGATGGATATGTGTGATTTTTGTCAGCTGCCTCTGGGCTGGAATGTGCTAACTGGGAACACCTAGCAGCACTGCACAGCAGTTTAGGAAAGAAGTGAGGGAACAGTATCCAGGAGAAACTGCAGGGGGGAATTTAGGGAGGCGGAATGTAAACCCTGGAATTGATACTTGGCCAAGACACTGAGGGTTAATGACCCCATCTTATACTGCCGTTGGATCTCCTGGGATGGCGTAATGCCAGGTCTTATGTTTCATCCACGACATCTCTGACAAGCCCCACAGTGTGTCCCAGCACCATGCTGGGGCACTGACAGGGTAGTGAATCACTAGCATCACTGCCTTAGCGGCTAGGTTTCTGTGGAGGTCTACCATCTCCAAGTATTTTTTTGACCCACACTGGTTAGCTTATGGCGCTTGACAGCCTCACTGCATGAGAAAACGTAGCTGGAGGCCACAACTGGAGTTGGCCTTGCCTGCTCCTTTGTTCAAAGGACATGGTGCCTCTATACTTTGATTTCTCTCCCCCCTCCCCCGGGTCCTGCTGTGAAGTTGCTGTCCTGTTGCATTGGCATGTCCAGAATCTCTTCCATGGACACAGTCCCACCCGCTGGGAAGTCTTGATCCTGTCAGCAAGGCTGTGTGTATTCCCACACCATGGGGCTGTACAGTACCAGGGAGAAAGCAATGTGCAGCTGTCACAACCAATAGTTGTTTGCATTGGTTCTCCCCTCGTCTTACTGTGTCACACTGGCTACCTTAGGACTGTTCAACTTGTCCCAGTCTTAGAATGACACATCAACCGAGTTACGTCTCTAAAGAGCATGCGTGCCCCTGCCCAGGCCCCTACCCCACCATCCCTTGGGGGGAGGGATAGCTCAGTGGTTTGAGCTTTAGCCTGCTAAACCCAGCACTGTGAGTTCAATCCTTGAAGGGGCCACTTAGGGATCTGGGGCAAAAATCAGTACTTGGTCCTGCTAGTGAAGGCAGGGGGCTGGACTCAATGACCTTTCGGGGTCCCTTCCAGGTCTATGAGAAAGGTATATCTCCATATATTATTCCCTTCCTATAAACCTCAGCGGAATAAGACACGCTTCTATTGCATCCTACTCAGTCATTTTCCCCCTGCTCTTGGAGTGTCCTCTCAAGGAGGACTGAGGTGCACCTGCTCTCCCCACAGGTGCCTACTGCCTCTCGGTCTCTGACTTTGACAACGCCAAGGGGCTCAACGTGAAACACTACAAGATCCGCAAGCTGGACAGCGGTGGCTTCTACATCACCTCCCGCACGCAGTTCAACAACCTGCAGCAGCTGGTGGCGTATTACTCCAGTAGGTGTCGTGAAACCGGTATCAGCGCCCTACATTTGTACTGAATGCAGCTGAACCCATTCCCTGCCCTGCATTCCTTTACCGTCTACGCAAAGTAAAGTATAGTCAAGCCTGGGACAGCCGCTCAGAAAAAGCAGGGCCTGTGGGTTAGTAATGACAGAGGAGAGGGTGTCTTGCCCCAAGAGTTTGGTTTGAAGGAGGGGAAAGGGGCTGCTGGACAGATGAGGTTACGGCGAGTGTACGGGGCGTGGGGAACAGCCTGGTAAAAGCACAGCATTGAAAGTGGGAGAAGGAGATGGAGACATCGGAGGAGGGTGTATGGAGGCACAGAGATGTAGTTGGGGGGCAGGCTATGTAGGTCTTACGTGTGAATTGAGGCTGTGTCTGTCTCTCTCTTCGCAATGGGGAGAAGGTTGGAGCAGCTCCCTCAGTGGCTGCAGTGGTGGGACCCTTGTGTGGACAAGGCTCCTGCAGCTTCTGATATTCAACACTGTGTCACTCTAGACTTGCTCTGATCAGGTTTTGTTAGACAGGGCTGCTGACATCTTCTATCTTAGTGCTTCCTTACAAGCTACCACTGACACAGCTGCACCATTGTTGGCAATGATGGGTAACTTTGCCAATAAAAAAATCCCCAGTATAGAAAGCCCCAGGGCTGCATTGTGGTGGGGATGGGAGGCCTGGGGTTGGCCCCCAGCTTTATTTTGGCAGGTCAAGCAACCAAAAAGAGAAGCCAAAGGTCTGTTTCCAATTCCCTGAAAACATACAGGATGCCAGGAGACTTGGTGATTTTTAGATAGAGGGAGTAAACATGAAGATCCCTCCCCTCTAGCCCTTGTCTCCTAAGGAGATGTCATGTCTCAGCAGGGGAGACAAATACTAGATGTTAAGAGGGAAATTATCAAGGAAGGAAGACTGTGTTTTCTCCCTCCCCTCTGCAATGCAGAGAACGACCCCCTAGAGACCTCTGGCCTTAATGCCGTAGCAGGTAAGCAGTGAATGGCAGACTCCATTTGAAGTCTGGAGGGGGGATGTTGTCTTCCACATGGAATGTAGCACCCCAGGCAAAAGGGTCCCAGGCACCCTTCCCACTGAAATAAAATGGGGAAGAGCAAAATAATGGGATTTTAAGTAAGAAGGGAGGGGATGATGATCAGAACAGACTCTGCCGCTTTGGAGGCTGGCAGGACTTCCGGTGAAGATGCCGTCTATCTAAACTCCCCTTCATGCCTGTCTATCTTCCCCCTTGCCAGAACATGCTGATGGCTTGTGCCACCGTCTCACGAACGTGTGCCCAACTGCCAAGCCCCAAACGCAAGGACTTGCTAAGGATGCTTGGGAAATCCCCAGGGAGTCTCTGCGGCTGGAGGTGAAACTGGGGCAAGGCTGCTTTGGAGAAGTGTGGATGGGTAAGGATTCCTCCAAACACACACGCCTAAGGCGGCGGCAGCAGCAGGTGCCTGGGCCATGGAGTGTCTGCTCCTCTTGACTTGTTAATGAGCCAGCTGGATTTCTGACAGCGAGGGCTGGATGAGAGAATAGGAATTTCAGCCTTTGTTATTCCTTGCAGCAAGTTGAGTAATCCCTCCTTCCTGGCTGATGTCTCCCACCTGGGTGGGAGAAGGGGTGCTCATTGGAGGGATGCGAAGCTTCCCCAGTGCTGAAAGTGCCCCCTAGGGCGCTCTGAGGGAGCGTCTCTCTTTCCATCAAACAGGCGGTATAAATGGAATGGGAGGGAATAACTTCCAGCACCGTCAGAGAGCCGTGGATTGCGGCCAGTGCAGTGAGCGCTGGCCAAGGAATGCTGATGTGTCAGAAGTCGGGTGGGACGCGGTGAAATCTGCCGCTCTCCCTGTGCTAGTCAGGCTCAGGCACTTGTAGCACTTCCACGCCTGGTGCAGCATCATCCCTGCACATCCTGTTGCTAGTGTGTCATGGCATAATCTGGCTGTGACTGGGTCTGGGCACCGCGCCCCTGAAGGCGGTGTGCTAGGTGAGCGCCTGTAAAGGCAGTGCCTAATCCTCCAGGGGCTGCTTCATAAACTGGCTCTGGCTTCTGCTCCAGGGACCTGGAATGGCACCACCCGGGTGGCCATAAAGACTCTGAAACCCGGCACCATGTCTCCAGAGGCATTTCTGCAGGAGGCCCAGGTGATGAAGAAACTCCGTCACGAGAAGCTGGTTCAGCTGTACGCGGTGGTGTCGGAGGAACCCATTTACATTGTAACGGAGTACATGAGCAAAGGTGAGTGCCTGGCACCCAGGGCTGGGGCAGTCATAGGCAGGGCTGGCTCCAGACACCAGCCCAGCAAGCAGGTGCTTGGGGCGGCCAACGGAGAGGGGTGGCACGTCTGGCTCTTCGGCGGCGGGTCCCTCACTCCCTCTCGGAGCGAAGGACCAGCCACCGAATTGCCGCAGATCGCACTCGTGGCTTTTTTTTGCTGCTTGGGGCGGCAAAAACCCTGGAGCCGGCCCTGGTCATAGGCTCTGATAACTGAGGAACTGCTTCCTATTTGTCACTGAACCTCCTGTGTGAGCAGAGAGAAGTGTGTAGGGCAAGCTGCACTGGCCACCGGCAGCAGCGAGATGCAACCACCTGAGGGAGCTGGAAGGAATCTCTCCCTAAAACGGATTCCATAGTGCTCCCATACACGGAAAGCCGGGTCCTAGTGGGCGGAGGTGGAGACCTATAAATGACCCAGCCAGCTAAGCACAGCCTTACCCATTCCTCCATAGAAGGCGTGTTGGATATTTACCGGCGGCACCCGCCCGTGGCAATGTGCAGTGTTCCCTACTAGAAAGGATAGAGTTAAGGGAGCTGGGACCCACTAGAGTGCAGAGGGGTAAGGAGACGGCCTGCTTGGGAGCTGACTGGGGAGGGGGAGGGCACAGGTTGCGAGGAGAGGAATAACCACTTCCTGCCTTACAATGCTCCCACTCTGGTGCATGCACTGCTGCCCTCGACTGGATGGAACTGGAGCTGTGCAATGTTTCAGAGGCCCTGTCCTGCTAACAGATTGGTCTTTAGGCAGGGGTCTGTGGTTTTGTTTGTTTGTTTGTTTTTTTTGGGGGGGGGTTTGGAGCAGGAGGATTTGGATTCTGTCCCTACTGTTGCCATGGCATTCCAAGTGGCTGTAATGTGCAGCAATGAAATCCCAGGTGGCTGCAGATTGGTTTAGCACAAATACTAAACATCTAGTATTTAGCACAAGACTCCTCACCCCAGCCCCAAGGGCAGCTGCATGTGAGGACACCTCCTTGCTGTTCTGCTCAAACATCATCAAGTGGCCGAGAGTCTGGTGTCCACTCCTTCCTATCAGTAGCTGACGGTTGTGCCTTTCCACCCTAGGGAGCTTACTGGATTTCCTGAAGGGGGAGATGGGCAAGTATCTGCGGCTGCCCCAGCTGGTGGACATGGCGGCTCAGGTGGGTCTGGCTGACTGGAGAGCTGCAGTTTGAATTTCCCTTTTATCTTCTTGGCCGCTGTGGCCCTTGGACTTCGGGCCTTCTCATGCCTGGTCTGAGTGGGGTGTGGGAGTCCAGCTGCCAGAGAGGACGAGACCATCATGCCAGCCTTCACGAGTGCAATCCAAGGCCAACAGGAATCCACTAGCACCAAAGTGAAATGTCCCCCACAGTTTGAGGCGCTGCCTGAGACGTCCTTGTCTTCTGAATTTGGGGGTAACCCGATTCAAAGCCAGCAATCCCATGGGGGTGGGGTGGGCAGGGAAGAGAGGAAGAATCTGTTCAGAATGGGACGGCCTCTGTCCCACATGCCCTTATCTCCTTTCTGTTTCTCTGCCACAATTGCTCTCTCAAGCGAGGCCTGGGAACTGGATGGTCAGGGCACAGCCAGAGCCAGAAAGTGCTAGACTTTGGCTCGCCTGCCTTCTGGGTCTTTGCCAGCAGTTGCTGGTGTATGGCACCTCCGCAGTGAAAGGTCAATAGCAGCCTGACCTAAGCAGATTTATCGGGCTCTGGAGGGTCACAAACTTAGAGCTGTACTCTGGAAAACCGTGAGGGATCCTGTGCTAGATCTGTAGCCCTGATTCTATGGCGCATACACGGGAACAAAAAGCAGCTGTCGTCCCTAGCTTGGCTCCTGCCACTGGACTGGTCCCATCAGATTTTACTGCCCGGATCCGGCTGCTATAGAAAAGGCCCCCAGTCTGGGGCTCTGGGTGGTATTTCATGTAGAATCCCGGGGAAGAAAATCCCTCATCACTGCCAGGCTTTTGTCGTGTCCCGTCCTCCCCCTCCCCCCCCGGTGTCTTATTTATGGCCACAAACCTGCATTCGCCTGACAAAGCATCGCAAAATAACTGCGAGCCCCTTCCAAGTCCCATCAGCTCAGCGTGACCCAGCCCCCAGGCTGATGTTGGGTTGCCACTTTACCACCTCTATTCCACCTCCGGCAGAGCCTCCCAGGTTGCTGCTGGAGTGCCGGCTACGTTTACCATGTCCCCAAGGCAGCTGCAGGCAGCTCTGCATTAACACGAGCACAGTTGTGAGGTCTAGTGCGTGTCCTGTAGTATCTAACGTTCTCTGCGCACTGTCCCGTGTGTGGGCTACAGATCGCATCTGGAATGGCATACGTGGAGAGGATGAACTACGTCCATCGGGATCTCCGAGCTGCCAACATCCTGGTGGGGGAAAACCTGGTGTGCAAGGTAGCCGACTTCGGCTTGGCCCGGCTGATTGAGGACAATGAATACACGGCCAGGCAAGGTATGGGGAACGGGAGGGGGTGCATAGCCTTTACGTGCGGGCGTCAAAGGGAGCTGTGGAAAATGGAAATGACTGAGGCCCAAATTGCTTAGCATTTCCAAGCGGAGAAGGGCAGGGCAGGTGAGAGCAAGGTGGCACAAGCCATTGGTATGTGCTCCTAGGTTCAAGTCTAGACCAGCTGAGGAATGATTCAATTGTTGCCTTCCAGCCACTCTTTGTGGGTCTGTCTGGTTCCCTGCAGGCGGGCCCCCCCACTGCATAGACTGCCCCGCTGGCATGGGTGGTCCCTGCAGAGGGGCCAAGTACTTAAACAGGGCATGGAGGCTGAAGTAATCCCTTGCCCCCAGCCAGTGAGGGAGCCTGCACAGACTGCAGGTGTGGAGGGACATGGCTCTGCAGGGCTCTTGATCCAGCACTTCTCAGGAGTCTGCAGTCACACTCCTATGCTCAGATGTGTATGGTGTGACCCTGCTGCTCCATTAAACCAGCACTTTAACTCCCGTTCACCTGCTTCTACTCACCCTTCCCTGCTGGTGCTATTGGAAAGTGAAGGGGATGGGATTTGGGACCCTACTTTATGCTTTTCAGACTTACTCCTGATGCAGGCTCTGTCCCCTGCCTAGATATGAGAACTTAATAAGGTGCTTGCTGTCCCTGTAAGAGCTGAGGGGGAAGCAATCACCGTCACTAGTGCCATGGACTGCAGAGGGGGCAGGCATAACTTTTCTCCAATGCTAGTTCTGTAGCCTAGTCCTCTGAACGGAGGTCTGCAAGTCCGGCTGGTGAAACCTCCCATCTAGAGTAGCTCTCAGCTGACACCCATTGTGGTGTCACTATCCCTCTGTTCTCCATGTGTAGGACATACAGCTTGATTGCATCTGAATCTTATTTTCTATCTCTGTTGCTTAGGTGCCAAGTTCCCCATTAAGTGGACAGCCCCGGAAGCTGCTTTGTATGGCAGGTTTACGATCAAGTCAGATGTCTGGTCCTTTGGAATCCTATTGACTGAGCTGACCACGAAGGGCAGAGTGCCATACCCAGGTAAGAGTAGGTACCGACTAGACACCAGGAGGTCCTATGCAGTCGCTGGTCATTGCAGGCTCTGATATCAGCTCAGGCTGTGGCAGATCCCAGCTGATCTATGGAGAAGTGTTTTGTCTAAGTTGCCATGGTGACTCCTAGGCTCATCTCAATGGAGAAACTTGCTGTGGTGTTTCTGCCACTGCTTAGGGATGGGGGTGGATAATGAGGCCTTCCCCATGGTGGGAAAGACCTGAGGGGGGGTCTTGTACTTGGACGAAGATGTTCTCTGAGCCTTGAGTGAAGGCCCAGACCTCCTGCCTTGGATCAAGTTCTTCTCCCATTCATGCTTGGAGTGAGTGACTGGCTGTATTTAGGGCTGAAGAAGATCTAGCTAGCAGAATATCAAGGTTCAGTTCCTAGCTCTACCACAGACTAGCTACACGATCTTAGTCAAGTCAGCTAGCCCTGGTATGTCTCACTATTCCCTCTCTTGGCTATCAGGTATGGTTAACCGGGAGGTGCTGGACCAGGTGGAACGTGGCTACCGGATGCCCTGTCCTCCAGAGTGCCCCGAATCACTGCACGATCTGATGTGTCAGTGTTGGAGGAAGGACCCAGAGGAAAGGCCCACCTTCGAGTACCTTCAGGCTTTCTTGGAGGACTACTTCACATCGACAGAGCCCCAGTACCAGCCAGGCGAGAACCTATAGACGTGGGGATGGCTCCTGGTGCCAAAGACCTTGCTCTCCTCCTGGTGTGTCCATGCACATGTCACAAGACACACGGCATCTCAGGAACTCCTTGCAGAGTCTGGTTCTGGTGACTAGCCCTTCTCCCAGAGGGTGGGACTGGTGCTTTTTAGCCCCGCAAGGTGGAGGGGGCTGGGTTCTCCCGATCACGAATTACTGATTTATGGTCTGTGTTTAACAAAGTGTGGCCATTTGACCTGGAGATGAGTCTGAAGGGAATTGGCTGTGTGCAGTGACTGGGGGTTGGAGAAGGAGCCTTTCCAGAAGAAACCCAGGAGGGAAGGTCTGTGCAGAAGCTGGAGGGGCTTTCAGGGGTCTTCCTCCTAGTAGTTCTGAAGTGCAATGAAAGGCATTAGACAACCTCTGTCTAACAACGACCTAGGCTTCCTTGCAGCCTGCCTCTCACTGGAGCGCTTGGCTCTGCTGGGACTGGATGCTAGTGCTACAGATCAACACCTTTCAATCTCCGATCACGCAGCTTCCAGCCTTTCTCTTTTCTTTTAAACCAGCACAAGGTTCCCCCCGTACCTCTCTGCTCCCTACACCTGTTCCCAGAGCAAACTTGGCTGCAGTTCGCTACAGGAATGTTTGTGGTTTCAGACTGAGAGACTCTTCCAGAGAGGACGTTCACATTTCAGTGCTCGCATGACTCGGTCTCCACTGCCCCATCCTGCTGGTGTACAGGGCTGTGGCATTGGGACACTAGCGCCAGCCCCCTTGCCTTGCTGCAGGTCCCAGGCACATGTGAGTTTGGATCAGGGATGCTGACTGTGCCTGGAGGCTCGTGAGGTGATTTTTCTCTGCGGGCGAGATTCTACTGGAGAGCTAGAAGGACTTCATGGCCGAGTTGCACGTGCAGCTGCATTAGTGTTCACTGTTGCTGCTCATGGGGCCAGTGACTTCTGACTTGTATCGGGACCATGTTAAATCGTGAGCTGCAGGTTTCTGTCTTCCAGTCTCGTCTGACCCAGCGAAGGGAACCTTGTAATCTTGATGACTACTTCTTAGAGACACACTAAGGCAAATGCCAATGGGGCAGGATACCTCTCCTTTTTCCTACCCTTGCTGCCAACTCCCTATTGCTTTGAGGGGTATTCTTCAACGAAGTACCCCTGGTCTTCCAGCCAGCACCCTAAGCAGCTCACCTGGAGAACACTCAGCCAGACCCTCCTGCCTGTCCTCATTCCACTCATTCAGATGCATCTTAGTTTACTCCAAGGCTTTTAGTGCCAGAGAAGCAGGGGTGGTCATTCTTGGGACACTGTGGTGTTCGCGCCAGCTCTGCCACAGTCAGGAAAGCCTCTGCCCAGCAAAGGGTTCTTTGTGTCTGAATCAAGGCCTGATGTGGAGCTAGCTTACCTAGGGTAATGGGGCCCTGGCCGTGCCCCATTGTCTTATCCTCCACAGGCTGCTGAGTTCGGGAGACTCCTGGGAGTGCATTACCCACTCCATGGGGGCGTGGTTTCAAGAACTACTTATGGATGCATTCAGGGTGGAGGTGAAGTCTCCATTCTGCCTGAGAGCAGAGGGGCCTTCCCCTCCATCTTCACTCCATAATTGGTCTTGAGCGACCAGGGGGCATCACCTAAACTCCAGACCCTGCCTAAAAGTTAAAACTCTGGATTCTGCTGCTTTAGCCCGGCTTCCATGGCTGTTTTCCGTGGGTGCAGGTGAGGGTCTGGGAAAGGGCTCCCATGGGGAAGATCACTAGTGCAGTGCTTCCACTCAACCCTGTGCTTCAGCGGCTGGAGCTGAGATCTTTTGGAATCCTGGTGGGCTCTTTGTACCTGCCCTGTGTACAGCATGGTAAGGTAGGGAAGCAACCTCCTTGCCTCATTGTGTATTGGTGTCTGGCCTAGTTGTGCCCTTGCTGCAAACTGGCCTCGGGCCTATGAATGGAGAAATCATGCAAAATCTCTGTTCCAAGCCTTGGTGGGGAAAGGGAGGAGGAAGGGCCTGATTCTGTAAGTTGCTAAGAGCCCTCACTTCCCACTGAAATCCTTGGGAGCTCAGGTTGCTCAGCACTCTCTAGGATTGGATCCTAAGTACTTTCTTCAGCAAACAGCTGGTTGCTCCCAATTCACGCTCTCTCTGATGGTGCACGAGTGGCTTCCATGCTTGTATTTATGCAGCCACGTGGCAGAGGCTACCTTGACAGCAGTTGACACACAAGTGGCTGGTTGTATTTTTCATCAGGCTTGTGAATAAACAGCAGACTTAAGTTTGCAAGCTTTGCCCTGTGTGTATATAGTTATTAAAATCTCTAAGGAATCCCTTCTTGCCAGATCACTGCTGATCTTCTCTTCTCTTCTGCTGTTTCCTCAGGCGGAGAGATCTGGTGGAAGGCAGATTCAGACACCAGTTCTAGCTCAAGCTGCTGCCAAGGGGGGTTTTCTGGTGACCCTGACCCTGATAGAGAAGCTAATAGGTCATCTACAGCCAAGTCAGTCATGGTGCAGGAGAGATTACAGTAGCCACGGGTCAAGAGACAACTCTCCATCTGCTCTTAGCTGCCAGGCAGAACAGGCAGCTGGATGGATTGTATGCAGGGCAGTAAGATTCTTGGATTCAGGTCATTTAGTTGCAGTCTAGGACAACTCTGCAAATGAAAGATCTGTGTCTCAGCTACCGGTCCAAATGGACAATGGAGGAATGCTGTGCTGAGATCTGCAGCGGGGAGTGTTAAAATGGAGAGTGAGCCTGGCCTGTCAGTGAAAGTGCTAAGCAAAAGGCCCACTCTCTTCAGTGGGGGAGGGAGGGAACCCCAACTCTCGTTAACTCCAGAATGCCCTGGGGCTCCATCTCGATCAATATGGTGCCCTAATGCAGTTGTGTGCTGGCAGCGCGCACCCCCGTTTTGGAGATGAGGCCTAAGCACGGCCGAGGGAACAGCAGTCCCGTTTCTTTTTGCTGCAGAAGGCTCCTTGCTGCTCAGCAGCACTTTTTCCCCCTTTGGGGTAGACCTGGAGTGTCAGAATGAGAGAGGCAGGGAGGTGGAATAGCAAATGGTGCCCATGTGGGCAAAGTGTCATTAATGGGCAGGTGCTGTGCCAAAGACAGGAGAGAACGCAAAAGACACCGCCCCATCCTTGGCCAAGACAGCTGGCTGGTCTTCGGCCCAGATCTCCAAATGCGCCAGGCGAGGTCCCACCTGCTCAGTCCTTAAGGATTTCTTCATTCTAAATGAGTTCCAGTCATAAAGCCCCATGTGGTGTAGGCCTGTCCTTGGAGCAGGACTGAGATCTGCTTGGCCAGCCTCTAGAAGGGAGGGTGCTCGGAGGGGTGGGGAGGTAGAAAGGGGCTGCAGGACTGCCCTTTCCTACGTCACATCCAGGGGCTGGAGATGATTCTGAGTTTGACGGTTTTCAATGACCGATCTTGCTCCTGCCTCCACCTCATGATAGATGATTCTTTAAACAAACTATAAAACCCAAGCAGCCACCGAAGCCCTATTTAAATCACCTCTTTCTAGCAAAGTTACTCTGTTCAACTGGAGCAGCCCAGCAGCTTTCTGTGGGAGTAATGGCGTCTTAAAAGGGAGAACTTCTAATGAGCTGTAAAATAGCCTGGTTTTGTACATAGCCCTCGAGTCGCCTGGGTGCTCACCCAGAGCCCCCTGTTGAATTAGTTGCATGTGTTTTTTCGAAGCTAACACTCGTGTCTGCAATTGGACGTAACTGGAATTCTTTGCCATTTGCCCGCAAGGCTTTGGTTATTGTCATTACTCGCTCGTGTTTGTCTGTGGTTTTGGATGCTCTTCAGTGTGCCAATAATCCCCCAAGAACCGAACCCCTTTGGCAACTGAGGGACTGTGCTCCAAGCCCAACCTGTGGCCCACTTAGTCCATGCATTATTCAAAGAGTTTAGCTGTCCCAAACAAGGGCTGTCCTAACTGCTTCCTTTAGGTGGCATCTGTCCTGTGGGTGCTTTGGCACACTGGCCGAGAGTGACTCCTGACCCTCTGTTCTCCAGAATTGTAAGTTCAACATGATCCATTCTGCCCAAGGCTGGGTTTGGTCTGGCTCAGCTGCCCGTTCTTGATGCAGAGGAGAACTTCTTTTCTGGGGAGTGTTAAGGAGTGCTGGGCAGGCGCAAATCCTTCCCCTGGAGAAATGCCGGCTGGGGGGAGTGAAATCTCAGAAGCACATGGGATTTAAAAAAAAAAACAAACAAACCCTAGAAAAGCATGAGGCGCAACCACGCATGACTTTGAAAGTGGACTCAAGTGATTGATTCTGATGTGCTTCCCCCAGTCCCTGACCACCCCAGCCTGTGGAGCAAAGTGGGTTTTGGTATTTTCCATACATTTTCTTCCTTCATGGCCCTAACGTTTTTTCCATGTTGGGATCGATCCTCATCTTTAGGGCAATTGAGCCAAATCTCCACCATGTCCCAGGCCCTTGTGTATCACAACTGCAAGTTGCAGAAATGTCTTGGCAGCTGTGGTGAATCCCCCAGGTGGAGCTAGTGGGCTGTGAGAAGTGTCCAGGGGCATTCATGGAGCTGACTGGCTGCATGTGGGCTAAATCCTCCTTCCCCTGCCATCTGTGCCAAAACTCCAGTTGGTTTCAATGGGATCTGTCCTTCAGTCCCCTCTTCCCCTGCCTGGTCATAGTACAATGCAAGCAACCTTGGGAGATATTCTAACAGTGCTGCTGTTTATAGATCAGCTTTAACTCACGTATCTTGTCTGTATTGCTGATATGCCTTTGTGATTAAACATCATTCAGGTCAAAAAATTAGGCGGAGTGTGACTCCATCCTGGCTTTGTAGACTCTTTTTAAAGCCGCCTTCTCCTGAGCTCTTGCAGCCACGTACGGGCCCCACTGAAATCCAGGTCACAACTCCCATTAACTGACATGGCACCAGCCTTGGCCTCTCAGAATAAAACCCTCCCTGTCCAGCAGGGGAGAAGCAGGTGCAGAGGGATGAGGTAATTGTGTCTTCCCAACCTGTCCCCTCAAATGTGGCTAGAAATCTAGCTTCACTGGCATTCTCTTCCAAACCTGGGCATGGTGGGAGGGTTAGTTCATTTTCTCCCAGAGATGCTGGGACCCAAATGAGAATCTTCCTTTTAGGCTTTTGTTTTGTTTTGTTTTTTTTCCCCCACCAGGAGCTCAGGGAAAATGGGACTGATGAAAACACATACCTAGCCCTGCATCTCACTCTTATTTATTAAAACTGGTTTGTTCTCTCTCTTGAAAAGGCTGAGTTTCCACTCATCTCCAAGAAAAGTTCCTATCTTTCTTGGTTAGAATGTTAATTTTCTGTATTCTTTTAAATGAATTTTGGACTTAAACTAAAAGGTCCTTCTGCACAGCATAAAAGTTGCTGTGTCTAGATTTCTGCATTCATGAGCAGGGACTCTGGGTCCCTTTTTCATGTTCTGTGTCTTTTTACATATGTTGAGCAGTTGTGGAGAAATCCTAATTCCTAGCGAGATCAGATTCCCACCCCCTTTTTTTGTAAGGTTTCTAACATGCAGAGAAAGTATGTGTGGGGGGGAGGGGCATTAAGTGTGTGTTGTGCCAATGATGCTTGTATAATTTATATAATATATCTTTAAACACCTACCACCAAGGAGAAATTGTTGCTTCAGAAACAAAAATTGGAATACGCTGAAGAACAGCAGGCTGACGGGAGCTGGGGGGGAGGAGGTAACGGCAGATGTAGATACTGAAAAGACTTTTTTTCTTTTTTTAATATGTACGTTTTTCAAAGAAAGATGGGGGAATAGAATGACTTAAACACGGATTGTTTCCAGCTCTGTCTGATTTTACTACAGCTGGTGTAGCAATAATGACTATTAATAATTTAAGTGAATACGAGATGCTCTTCCCCTGTCTTTGGCAAGCTTTTGAAGAAGAACAGAGCAGGATTCTTTGAATTCTTTTTTGTCCCAGGTTCAGAGTAAACCCCTCTCCATTGTGCATGATCTAGAGTGTGGTAGAGCAGGGTGACCCTCCTGTGTGGGGCCAGGAGAGGACATAGGGTCTGTTTATGTCTTAGGGCTGGATACTGGCATTGGAACTGACTAATACCCTGCAGGCAGCAGGACGGAGAGACTGTGTGTTTTGCCAATTTTATTTTTTAAGCCAATAAACTAAAGAGGAATCTCTTTACCTAGTGAGTCTGATGCTCTTTGGCATTGATTCAGGGAAATAAATAACCCCGTACAAGGTATTCTTCTGCTATTGTAACTTGTTAAGTGTTTTGTAAAATCTCCAGCTGCTGACTATGCAGAGAACATGGTGATCTGTCTCTCTTCCCTGCTCCCCACCCCACTGCCTTTTGAGTGTCTAACTAGCTAGTCCACCCCCCCCCTTTTTTTTTTTAATAATAAAACTTTTTGGAAAAACCTAAAGTCCCCAGATTTGTGGAATGGGAGGCGGGGGTTCTTTGAAACTCTGATATTGGTGTAAATATTTTGCAGTTTGTCTGATTAAACACACAGACCTCACCAAAAAATGGTTGTATCATGTGTATGAATGAAAAGATCGGCTTCTTGTGCGTGCAGTAGTGTGTCGCTTTCTGTGCCAGTGCACGTCCTGAAACCAGCATGAGCTCCAACCTGTAATCTCTGAGCACCTCTTACAGAGCTAGGGCCAGATTTCAGCTGGCACTCATTGGCATACCTATTATTGACTTCAATGGAGCTAGGATGCTTTACATATTGGGGTCCAGGAAGTGGGTGGGCGTAAGCCTGCTCACTGCTAAAGGATCCCCCCCCAGCCTAAGGGGAGGATCTACAGGGCCTGAAACCCAAGTGATTACGGGGGACAACTAATGTAATAACAGGGACAGGAGTATGGTCCAAGGGTCAAAAGAAGGGAGCCTGACGGGGACACCGAGCTAGGATACTTTATGCTACTTGAATACCTGGCCTCTGGCCACGATAGCTCTCTCTTTAGGTAACCTCATTTTTCCTCCCCAATCCATCAGCTTAAATTTTCAAATTTTATCAAGGCAGCGAGTTCTACCAGGCATTGTACTACCAAGGCCCATCAGACTATTAGCTCTAGCTGGTGCCCTTCTCAACAGCATGTCTCCAGCCAGCGACATTCAGCCGTATTGAATCCATCACAGCCTGCGAGCCAAGAACTCCTTCCTTGCCAATGAATATCTCGAGGACTGCAAAGCCTTAGTGAATCCCTCTGCCCTGCTGGGAATGGGCTTCCAGAAGGCATGCAAAAATTAAATTCTGCTCTATCATATAATAGACAAGCTCCTTGGGCAGGGTAATGTGAAGTCCCTGGAGTCTACTAGCGGCAGAGCTGGGTTATTGTGTACAAATATTGTGTACAAAGCAGCTGGACCTACCGGCAAACTGAATCTCAATTCCTTTTGCTGCTCCACAGGAAAAAGGAGAGGGGCTGACTAGCGCTGCTCCTATAAAATTTGGTTTCTTTATGTCCTCTAAATGTTAATGAATGCAGGTTGGAGCTGGGCCTTACCACTAGGAGCTGCTTCGTCCTGGATGCACAGCCTGCAGATAATCACATCCCTCACTGATTTATAGCGCTCCCAGCTGGTAATGGGACACGGGTGTGTACTGAAGCTTTGGGAAGAAGCTGGAGCTTCACTGGGGAATCTTCCCTCCCCCGACACATTTGGATGGAGCTGGTTTTCCTTTAAAATAAACACAACATGCTTGATGTGCTCCGTGCCAGAGGCTCTTGCTGCTTATTCTAGCATCTCCTCCCATCTGCATTACTGCTTCAGTGGGAGAGTGCAGGCCATCCTGCTGGCCGTGTCGCAATAGAATGCAGTTGAAGGCATGATTGGTTTGCAGCTCACCTCCAGCTGCTGCTCCCTGTAGGACCCCAACAAGACTGCTGAATGAAGACAGCAAGTCACATGTATGTTAAAGTAAGGTACGCAAGGTGTAGGCTGTGCTGGCAGCAGATCTGTGCTACTTATCTTGCTCCATTAACTAGGGTTACCATATTTTGTGCCTCCAAATGGAGGACACTCCACGGCCCTGCCCCCAGCCCCGCCCAACCCCGCCCCCCAAAGTCTCCGCCCCCTCCCCAGCTTCCCGCGAATATTTGATTCGCGGGAAGCCTGAAGCAGGTAAGGGAGGTGTGGGGGGAGGAGGCGCGGCCCAGGCTGGCCCCCCAGCGTTTCCAGCCTGGGTCGGCTCGGGCCC